TTATCGCAGTGAATGGAGAGCTGATTTGTCCGTGAATATGGAAATTTCGGCGAGAGAAGAAACAATTTCGTTTATAAAATGTCTTCTGTGGTACATACTTGAGCACCCATTTCGAATCCTTGTTTACCCATTTCTAACTACGTGACCACACAGCTAAAAAGGTTCATTTCTAGGGCTGGTCATTTTATGAAGAAAAATTATCATTTAGGGAGACGATAAGTAGCACATGGAGTAGAGGTCAAAACAAGGGAGAGGTGGATCCAAGGGTACTGTGCATCAGCATTAGAGGAAAGAGGACATATCGGTCATTTAGAGATGAAGCATTATTTGTCTGTTCAGTAGATTTGGATTTAAAGCGTCTTTTGAATAAATAAAAAAGAGAATAAACTTACAAGTCCGATAGCAAGATGTTTTTGCTGAAAATGTCTGATGGTAATCCCTTCAACTGATTGTTGTCCAACCGCCTAACAAAAAGTCATTTAAAGGCGGTATTTAGTAGGTTACACCAATTAAGGAAGGTCAGGAAACACATAAAATGCTTACAAACAGACTGTTAGCGTCAATAAAGCGATTCTTTTTTTAAGTCTGCGATAAGAAAACGAGCTATACTGTAGAACAAAATGACTTTGAGGGTTTTTTAAAATTTAAAATTCCTCTACGGAGTAAATAGCAACACAAATCGTTGCAGGATGTAATATACTTATAAGATTATATAAAAGGAAAAAAAATAGAAATTAAAACTTTAGAGCAGGCCCTGCTTTATCGCCATATATCTAGCTTTTCTTTGACATCTGCAACCTTCTAGAAGTTAGACTCCTGTTTTTACGCCAGTTTGGAAGGAATACATCGATAAATCAGAAATCGCATTGTGCTGTTAATAGCAACATCAATCAACCTAAGGGTTTAGAAATTCGTCATTCATTGAAAAAATAGACTATTTTAAGATTTTACAATCTCTTACTATTTTACAACCCGGTCTCCATTTCACTGAGCCGATAGTATGTCTATCGGAAGGCTATGCAGCTGGTTGTTTACTCAACCACACATCAAAAAATTTATCCAACCACGTTTAACAAGAACGGGTTATAATGCTGATAAAATATACTTGAGCTATGAGCATCCAATCATCACATTCTTAAAAAAAATAATTCCATTGAATTTTGTCTTAAAACTTTCAGATCTGAAATCAGTTTCAAACTAATCATGGGTTATCTTAACCCAGCTTTGAACAACCTCGCCCAGTAGATTAAGTAAAAGGGTCTTGGTTAACAATCAAAGTTGGTTATTGCTTTTGGGAACTTACTGTGGCCAATCTCATTAAGATGTTGCTACATATGAGTTAAATAGACGCAGTTTGTAATGCGAATTTATGAGGCTGTTAATTAATCAATGGAACGATGAAACGAATCTTAGCTTACAGCCATCCCAGGTGAGAGATGTTACTGTGTTGAATACGCAATGGCTTTCAAAGCAGCTAATGACGAATACTTATATTTATTAACGACATATCATTGTCAGTCCCTGTTAGGATATCACTGCCCTTTTAAATTGAAATGCACACAGTACAGATTTGTTTAATCTTAGCTTACAGCCAAGCCAGGTGAGTATTGTTGCTGAAAATATCTTGTGACAAGTCGTTCAACTGGTTGTTACTCAAGTTCCTGTTAGAAAAAAATTGATACAACTGTGTTAAATACATACGGTTTTCAATACTCATGAAAGATACTTTTATAAAGAGATTAGAGACCGCTTTTATTCCAAAGTCTTTGTTTCACCTTCGCACGAATTTTCCGCTTCAAGAACCCATTTGTTTTGGATGTATTTCGTAGATCAAGTTATCAAACTAATGAGGATAAAAAAATGGTAGTAGATTCAGCTATGGACAAATAATCAACTTTCCGCAGCTAAATACGTGTATGATTGCATAGATCATGAACCAGTGATCTTTAACCATTTCTTGTTCGAAATAACTTGGCGGTGAACGACATAGTGCAGAACGTAATAACTTGAAAATGTCTCAAAGGCTTTGTTACTTATTTCAATATTAATAATAACAAAAAAAGCAACTTAAGAAAAACGGCATTCAGTAGTAAACTCTTCCAGATGTACGCACCGAACAGTTTTACTCAAAATCGTCCGTTGTACACCAGAAATGGATAAATTGCATTATTGTTCCAGTCATTTCTCGGTGAGATGGCATTCATACTATTAGACCTACTTTTTCAAAGTTATCTTTGACGTTTAAGGCTATATTTGAGCAGTCATATAACACCAAAGATAGTTCTGAATATAACTAAAACAGTTAAAATATATTGGTATATATCTACGTTTTTTGAAGTTCTCATGATTTGCTTGATATTTCAGTTTCTAAGGGCTTCCTATGCATTAAGTACCAGGTATTGCAAGCAGAAACAGAAAGCGTGCTCCGCCGTTATTTTTCACATTCTACAATTTTTTTTTTCGATTCCACTTTTCCTTCACGAAGTCACGAAGTACTGCC